GAGTGATGGCGGCTGGGCGGGGAGCAGGCGTGGCTCTCCTTCCCTTGGTGGATCGGGGCCCAGCCTATCTCCCCGAGCTTGAGTGATGGCGGCTGAGTCGGGACTGGCATATTTCAATTAGCATGTTTTCAGGGTTCATCCATGTTGTATATCATGTGTCAGAATTACATTCCCTTTTAAAAAAAAAATGCCATCCCTTTTTTAAGGCTGAATAATATTCTGTTGGCTATATCATATTTTAGGTATCTGTTTTTCTGTTTATGGACATCTGTGTTATTTCTACCTTTTGGCTATTATAAATAATGCAGTGTGCTGTTACGAACATTGGTGGTGTCATCGTTTTTATTGTAGTCATTGTAGTAGATGCGGTGTCTTATCTCACTGTGGTTTTGATTTGAATTTCCCTAATAATGATGTTTAACAACTTTTCATATGCTTATCACCTATTTGTATGTCTTCTCTGGAGAAGTTTATTTTCAAATCCTTTGCCTATTTTATTTTTTGTTTCACATCTTTTTTATTAGTGCATATTGTTTAAACAGGTTAAAGTGTTTCATTTTGACTGATTTATACATGTACATAACATACTTTGATCATATTTATCTTCCCCATAACCCCCTACATTTTGTCAATTTTTTTTTTTTTTGGTACTGGGGATCAAACTCAGGACCTTGTACTTGTAAAGGTAGGTGGGACGCCACTGAGTTAAATCCCCAGCCTCTCATTTTGCCCATTTTTAAAGCAAATTATTATCTTTTTATTGTTGAGGTGTAAGGTTATTTATTCTAGATACTTCAGGCTTATCTGAAATGCTTAGTTCAGATTTCAGATTTTTTTTGGATTTTGGAATATTTGCATATATGTAATGAGATGTGTCAGAGATGAGACCCAAATTTAAACATGAGATTCATTAATGACTCATATTCACCTCATTCATACAGCCAGAAGGTAATTTTATACAATAATTTTAGAGTGCCTGTGTTTTGACTTACCTGTCACATGTGGTTGGTATGAAATTTTCTATTTGTGACATGATGTTGGCCCTCAAAACTTTTCAGATTTTGAGGCACTTCAGATTTCAGAATTTTAGGTTATGGTTGTTCCACCTATACCCCCTTATCTGATAAAGAGGATATTTAAAAGCCCATTGTTTTGTTGATAAAAATAGTCATACATGCTTATGGTAATCATTTGCAAAAATATAAAAATGTATGGAATTCTTAATTTCACCAGTTACATTTCCTGTCATTTGTTTTACTAGGCATGTATTCTTAAATAATTGGAAGTATCTTTAATATATAGCTCTGCACCCTACTATTTTGACTTGTCATATCATGAGTATTTTTGACAGGACTTAGGAGGGTTACTAACATTTCAAAAGACCCTGAATATCTATTTTATGCCAGTTTCTGGGGACAGAGCTAGGGCCACAAAATGAACCATCCACAGTGCCTCCTCTGAAGGAATCACAGCCTATTCCATTAAACACACAGGTATACCAGTAGATACAACAACACAGAGAGATAGGTGTTAAGACCCCACACGTGTTACATGTGCACATAGTAGAGGGTCCTTCTACTTCAGATGGGGTTAGGAGTCTTCCATGGAGCTAAATTTCAAAATTAATTTAAGTGGAAAGAAATGCTTCCAGAAGGAATGAACTGTAGTTGTAAAATTATGGAAGCAGGAGATTGTGGTGTGTGCCAAAGCCACATGTAAGTAAATAGCACTGAGCACTCAGTGTCTGTTTTGGCGAGATTGAAGCAAGGCAGCAAGGGCCCAAGCAAAGCCATGATGACAGTGGATTTTATCCTGATGCCAGGTCAAATGCACGGGAGGAACTGAAGCAGGGCTCAGGTAGTGAGCACTTGGTTTGCCATGGAACAGGCGCTGCAAAAGATATAGGAAGGGCCTCGGGGCATCATAAGAAGATGTAGGGTATGATATGACAAGGAAAGGAATCCCCGATGGCTATGAAACTTGAGGCTTCCAGAATCTGAGGAAATCCAAAAGAAGGCCCTCCCTCCCAAGTGGGGCTGCTTGGGAAAAGCCTTTTGTAACCTCAGTACCTTGAGATGTTGGAAGAAGGGAGCATGTCCTTTGCTGCTGTGGCCTAGTGAGCAGTAAAAAGCCCTCAATTCTTCTACTGAGACTACTGAGACAACCTTGAGCCAGACCTATACTCAGTGAATGGGCTGGGTGATGGGCCATTGGTGCCTCTGCTAAGAAGACTCTTTCAGCAAGGGGGAGGGACAGTGTTGCCAAAGGCCTCAGAGCAGTGATGATCTTTCCCTAGAAAGCATACGTTATGCATATGAGTTACAGCTTCCAGTAAGCCTGTTCTTGAACCTCACTCAAATTGAGAATGCCAGAACAAGGAGTACGGTTTCTTCTCTATTGGTAACTTCCAACTTAACTAAATAATGTTTTTTGAAAAATGGTGTTATCCAAAAAAATTATCATTTGTAATTTTAGTAATGATAGATCATTGAGGTTTACTGTTGTGCTACTTTATTGTCTCTGAAGGGGCTTTTAAATTTTTTTCTTGTTTATTTGTTGGATAAAGATAACTGATAAAAGATTTTTTCTCTTTCTCATTTTGCTAGGAATGATCAGCATTCCAGTTTTTCAAAGGTGAAGAATACTCATACTGATGGATTCCAGAAACCTACACATTTTATAAAAACAAGTTTTAGAAAATTTATTCAGAAATCTTACGTGGTAACATTGGAGTTGCAAATTTTTTATTTTTTGTATCTTTTTTTGGGGGGGGGATACTGGGATCGAACTCAGGACCCTTTGCTTGCAAGGCAGGCAGCAGCAGCACTGAGCTAAATCCTCAGCTCTCAAATTTTTCATTTTTGTACATTCTCCTTAAATCTGTTTTGTTTTGTTTTTTGTTTTCGTTTTTTGTTTTCTGGGGTTTTTTTTGGTACCAGGGATCCAATTTGGGACCTTGTGCTTGCGAGGCAGGCGGTGGCACCACTGAGCTAAATCCCCAGCCCAAATCTGTATTTTTTACATTGTTTATAACTGTTCATTAAATATGTGTTATAAGATTCTGTTGAGGCTTACAATTAATACAACAAAAGAGATATTCATCACTGATATAGTAGAATTTTATTAGATTTATTATAGTACTGACTTTCTTAATTTGTTTAAGAATAACTTTATTAAGATTAAGATAGAATTTGAGTACCTTAAAATTTTCCTATCTTAATTGTACAATTTACTGATTTTTCTTAGTAAATTTACCAAGATGTGTAGCCATCATAATTCAGTTTTAGGATATTTCTATGATTTAATAAGAGCCCGCATGCCTGTTTAGTTATTCCTTGTTCCCACCGTCAGGCATGCACTACTTTACTGCCTCAAAGATTGGCCTTTTATAGGGCAGCTCACAAAATGGCAGCTGTCTTCCATAAATAAGGCTACAATTATGGAAGCTAGAGTCAGAAAAACCTGCCTCCTATAGTGTTGAGGATTTGTGTTCTTAGGTAGTAGGACCTCTTTAGCAACTTGTAATAATAATGGGTTTCTCTTTTGAACACCAGAATAAATAAATCCGAGATATATAGTCTATATTCAAAGTTTTATACAAGAGTGTGAGTAAAACTGTCCTCTCACAAATTATGGATCATGTACAAGAAGTATGTGTGTTCCTATAGCTAAGCTCTCTGCTTCCTGCTTTGTGCTCTTCATCCTATACATTTAAATATGTGTCTTTTAAATGGTCAAACTAGTTTTTTAAATAATCCTTAAAATATATTAACCCACACTAATACTTTTTTCATGCAGAATTATATGATGCAGAGAAAAGATGCTACTACTCAGAAATTGTCTGGAGTTGAGAGAAACCAGCAAGTCTTTAAAAGAGCTTTTAAGGTATTATGTGTTATTTTTCATTTAACTCAGACTGGGTTTATGCTTTGCATACAGTGTTGTGTTAAAATTAAAAGCTATTTTGTGGTAAGAGGCTATAAACTAGTATTTGAAGAGGCTATGTTTCTGGTTTACATGAGTATTTCTAATATTTATAGTTAACTGTAATCTCTTTGATAATGACTTTTTTCCTCAGGACTTGATTTTCAGTTTTTTAATGAGTGGAATCATTTTTTCAAATATGACCTGGAAATGCAAGTACATAGACAGATACAAATGCAATGACTCTAGGTAGGGTGGCAGGCAAGGTCCTACCTGCCTGCAAGGTAAGCCTTCTTCCTACTCTCTTAAGACGTAAGTACAGAACATCATGCTTGCCCCAGGATTCTCAGACTGAAAGGCTCTGCCCATAGACATGCAACCTTCAGAGGCCTTTTGGACTTCTTGTCAAGATGGCTTTGTTAAAGCATATTTTATTGGTGGCCTGCCTTGCAAGCGCAAAGACCTGAGTTCAATCCCCGGTACCAAAAAAATTTTTAAAAAAAGCATATTTTATCACTAATTTCTAGTTATTTGTGCACCTATATCTGATATAAATGATAGTTTTAATTAACCAACATCTTTGATTACCCAGAGCACCTCATCCCCAAAACAAATAGAATTAAAATTATAGCACAAAGTATTATGTTTCTCTTTCCTCTCAAAAGATGAGATTTAAAAAAAAAATCTATTTGACTGAATTTCTTTTTATGACAGGGCCTTTATTCATACTTTTTACTCTGTGTTGCTCGTCTCCCTAAAAATAGAAGAAAATTTGAAGGGTTTTTTTTTTTTTTTGGTAAAAATAGCAGGTGGGGGGGGCAGGGATTTAGCTCAGTGGTTTCGCCACCTGCCTTGCAAGCCCAAGGTCCCAAGTTCGCTCCCCAGTACTAAAAAAAAGAAAAAGAAAGTAGCAGGTGGATGTGCTCTAGTAATTACCTCATTAGGAAGAAGTTAGTATGAACAGAAAGGGATTATAAACTCTTCTGAAATGCTAGACTAGGAAGGTAGATGAATGGTCTATTAATACTTGGTTTCTTAACAGTCAAAATTTCTAGATGTTGAAAGATTTCTTTCCACTACGAGTAACACATAATTTGTGGATATTGCATAGATTGTGTTTTATTCTATAGTTCATATACCTAAAATATGTATAAGGTTTTCTTTGATAGCTATGGGTATAGAGTATATAAACATGTTTTATACCATCTTTTAATTTCTTGAGTGATGAGAGAGCAAATCAACTGAAAATATGATGTTTGAATCACCTAGAGTTGATACAGATGGGTATTCATGTCTAAGTGCTACTACATGTTGTTTTTCTCATTAGTGAGATGTAGCTAATTGTATTTTTCTAAGATCATCACTTGATTTATTTCTTATTATCCTTTCTCCTTAAGGGAAGATACTTTGGCATTATTAGAATATTTTCAAAATATATGCAGTAATTTTTCATATTCACCAATCATTTAAAATTGTGTAATGTCACAGGATTGCTTAGAAGATCACAGTTGTTTGAGTAAAATCATGTGAAGAAATAATCCTAAAGAGCCGGGCGTGGTGGCATACGCCTGTAATCCCAGCACTCGGGAGGCTGAGGCAGGAGGATCGCTGTAAGTTCGAGACCAGCCTGGGCTACATAATGAGTTCCAGGTCAGTCTCAACTACATAGTGAGACCCTGTCTCAAAAAACCAAAAAAAAAAAAGAAATAATCCTAAGGAAATATTTTATTAAAATTTATTTTTGCATGAATTAGACTAAATCAAAGCCAAATAGTAATCAGCCTATGAGATGTGTAAAAAAAAAGGACCATGTCAATCTCAAGGTTAGCGCTGCTGTGATAAGTTTTTGCAGATAGTTACAACAGAATTAGAGTGTGTCATTATGATTCTCCTTTACTTGAAATTTTCTGTATCTTTAAGAAAATAATTGAAAAATAAGCCTAGAACAGGTACTTTTTGGTAAATTAATGTGCTTTATTATGTATGACATTCCCATTTCTAAAATAATCATGAAAAGAAGAATGAATCTTAGTTCTTTTAGTTATTCTGTTATATGTTATAATATACGTTTGTTTTGCCAGTATTTCTCATGATCTGTTCTCTGTTATTAAGTACTCCAGGGGTGAAACTTAAATAAAATAAGCCAAAAACTAAGTTTCAAAAAAATTAGACAGGAGGATCACAAGGTCAAGGCTAGCTTTGGCAACTTAGCAAGACTTAGTCTCAGAAAAAGGTGGGGGAAGGGCTGGGAATGTGGTTTAGTGTTCCTCGGGTTTAATCCCCATACCATGAAAGGAAGGAAGGGAAAGAGAGAGGGAGGGAAAAGGACAGGAAAAAAGTGAAAAGTAACAGCAGTTCCAGCAATGGCAGTGCACCTGACTAATCCCGATCTCTTCCTTCTGGCATTGCCTTAGCTGCTGTTTAATCTAAATTTTATTTTCAGAGGGGAAACAGTGTTTGAAGAGGTCTTTAACGCAGTATGATGCAGTTGTGGTGTTTGTGGACAATTTTATTGACTTCCTTAGAGGCTCACAGTATATTTAGTCTTACAGTAGTCTTTTTAGGATTTGTTATTGTTTAGCTCTTCATCTTGAGAAAATCTTCTTGTTGATATTTGTATAGGGTTATACAGGCTGATTCACACCTTAACATTATGTAAAGTAAAGGTGTTCTTGTTTGTTCTTGTTATTTTAGCTTCGATTTTAAACCTTAATAGTTTACAAATAGTAAATCCCCTCCAGGCATTTCAGAGGGGCAAATCATCCTATTTGATGGGGACATGGTCATATAGTTGTTGGAATGTGACTCAGGATGTTTTTAATTCAGAGCAAATAAAGAATTTGATTTAAAGACTGTCTCCATGCAACTTTGTCGTATAACATTTCCGTGTAGTTAGATTGCACTTTCTTTTTTTTTGCTTTGGTTTTGTTTTGAAATTGGGTCCTGCTATGTTGCCCAGGCTGGCCTTGAACTCCTGGACTCAAGTGATCCTGCTTTAGCCTCCCAAAGAGCTGGGACAACTGGCACGCATCACCATATATTTTCCTTTTTAATATGAGAATTTGCTTTGAGAAATTGAGAGGATGAAAGGAAATTAGCTGAAAATAAATTTTATCCTTGCTGGGTGGGGTGGCGCACGAGGAAGGCTGAGGCAGGGGTATCACAGCACATTTGAGGCTGTTAGGGACTACAGTGAGCTCAGGGCCAGTCTGAATTACAAAATGAGATCCTGTCTCAAAAAAAAAAAAAGAGAGTTTATCCTTGATTAATATTAATCTTCTGAGTAGAATTCTGATTGTATTTAAAAATGGAGTACATTGGGAAATAAATTTTGTGTGCAGTGGCTGCTGTTTTGAAGGTAGAGTTTGTAACTTATTTGTGTGTGTATACTGGGGATCGAACTCGGGCCCTTACACTTGCAAGGCAGGTGGCGGAAACGTAGGGCCAAATCCTCAGGCCCTGTAACCTTTTTTCAGACTTTGTCCCTGCCTAGTAAATGAACATTGGGTGAGTCCTTAACTCTGAGTGCTAAGGACAGGTGGAAGAATATGGCTTTGTGTTCATGCCAGTAAAGGTGAGCATTATTTTATGTTCTTCAAATCTGGGCAGCCCTTTTCTTGGATCTCTGTAGACTCCTGTTGGCAAAATCAGAGACTAGCTGCCTATCGGGTCCCTAGACTGGCATCTGCACTAAATTGTCAGCCCCTATAAGAAATGGGGTGGGTCTGTTTCATCTTTTGCTTACACATAGTGTCAGATAATGGGTTTTGCCAAATAAATTCAGAACAGTTTTATAGTTAACTATGCCTGAGAGAGCATGCTGGGTCAATGAAGTCTTACTTTTTTTGCCATATCTTTTCCTCACTTCTTGGAATTAGACTTCCAGTATTTAGTTTATACTGAACTTGTCTTGTTACAAGTTTAATTTTGCCTAGAGTTTTGGTTCATATAATTTTGCATTTTTAAAAATTTTGCATTTATTTTTAAATTTTTTTCTAGTACCAGGGATCAAACTCAAGGCTTTGTGCAGACTAAGCAAGCACTCTACCACTCTACCCCCAGCCCTACACACTAATTTTTTATAGGAGGATTTAATTTAATGATTATAGGGAGAAATCCCTTCTATAGTCAAGAGCTTAATATGCAGCCTCTTCTGGTGAGTTAGCAAGTAGCCAAGGTGTGGTGGTGTTTGTTGTTGTTGTTGTTTGCAGTATTAGAGACTGAACCCAGAGCCTTTGTACTTTGAGCTGCATCCCCAGCCCTTTTTTATTTATTTTATTTTGAAACAGGGTTTTGCTGTTTCATGAAGTTACCCAGGCTGGGCTTGAATTTATAATCTTCCTGCCTCAGCCTCCCAGAGTAGTGGGATTATTAGTATGTACTACCATGCCTGGCTTAGTAGGGCAGAAATGGACTCCATCTGTTAACATTTGGGCTACTTTTCCCTTTTGTTTTAGATTATTGTAGGAAGCTACTTGGAAATACAGACAGCCATGAAGAGTGTGTGGTAAAGAGACCAAGGGAGGGAGATTTGAAGCATTGTGCTGGGAAGATTTGGAGAGGATTGGGTCATGTCTGACAGCACTGAAGACTTCCTTTCTCTATCTCTAGAACTAAATTACAGGACCAATTCTTCTCATCAGCCACTTAGGAAAATATTCATAGTCCTTTATGTCTGTTTGAATACGGGACAGCATGCAGGCTAGGAATTGGTCTTTATAATTCACATAAACTCTAATGTGTTTTTCATGATAAAGAAAGATTTATTTGAAGGCATTGACAAGAACAAAGTTAAAAATGTTTGTTCCTTAATGTCCTCTTCCCCCACTGGTATTTGATATTGTCACTATGAATCAGAAGAATTTTAGTTCAATAGAGGTTTTGAAAATTATATTTTAGCATGTTGAATTTGAAGAATTTATTCCAAATTCTTTTAACAGTTTTAAAAACTGATTTTATGTTAAAAAAAACTTTTAAAATGGCATATAAAATAAGCTAGGGAACTAGTTTGAAGGAAATGTGCTTTAATGCCAGCATTTACCTCTTCCCTTTTAACATCTGTAGTGCCTAGGATCAAGGGCAGCCCTAAAAGCTAGTCATTTTTTCATCTGTTATACTCATAAAATAGACTTGAAAACTATAGTTTTGGTAACACTTCTTTCTTTTCTTGACAGAGTTACTTTAGAGGTGGCAGATTCCAGCCCCAGTATAAATCAGACCTGGTACAGAAGAGCTTATACATTCAGGCTAAATATCAGCGTTTACGATTTGCTGGTCCAAGGGGATTTATCACTAATAAATTCAGAGACAGGTCACCAAGGAAAGAAAAGGTTAGTTGTATTATAGTCACTTAAAAATACTGACTGAATTTGAACTTCTAAATCATCTGTGTTGGGCCAGAGATTTAGCTTAGTGGTTCTGGTGACTGCCTCACAAGTGCAAGGCCCAAGTTTGATCCCCAGTACCAAAAAAAAAGAAAGAAAAAAAAAAACATTAAATCATCTGTGTTCATTAGATAAATTAGGTTTTTCATTTAGTTTTAAGAAACTTAGATTTTTAAAATGTTCTTATTTCATGACAGTGGAGTAAAAACTTCACAGAGTAAAGCTAATAGAATTGTGAGACTACTTATCCTTAAAATGCTTTTTAGCTATTATAACTCAAATCATTTTTTTGTTGTTGTTGTTGGTACTGGGGATCAAACTCGTGACCTTGCTCTCATGAGGCAGGCAGCAGAACCACTGAACTAAATCCCTGGCCCTCAAATACTTTTAATAGCCTGGCTGTTTGAACTTTTTACTTTAGAATTTCTATTGTATCGTTAATCTTTGAAATGGAAATTTAGATAATGTTTTAGTCTTTTTTTTTTTTTGCTTTTTTGAGACAGGGTCTCACTATGTAATTGAGACTGACCTGGATGGAGCTCAATGTAGCCCAGGCATATTTTAGTCTTTTACAATGTAAATTACCTGAAAATATTGAACTGACTCTATATAAAATATATATAATTATGAAGTATACTAAGTCATCTTCCCCCACTTTATTTTATTTTATTTTATTTTATAGTACTGGGGATCGAACTCAGGACCTTGCGCTTGTGAGGCAGGTGGTAGCACCACTCAGCTAAATCCCCAGCCCTCATATATTTTTAATTGTGGTAAAATAATGTACAGTGTAACATTTGCCATTTTAATTATGTTTAAATATGTAGTTTGGTAATCTTAATTACATTTAAAGTGCTGTACAATCATTTCCATTATATACTTCTTAATTTGGACAAGTAAAAATTATATATATTTACAGTATAAACAAAATTTTGATATATATTCATTGTGGAATGGTAAAATGAAGGTATTTCACATATGCATTATTTTATATACTTATTTTTTGTGATGAGAACACTTAAAAATCTACTTTCTAAGTGATTTACAACTATATGATATGTTGTATCTTCCTAATCTTCCTATCACCATCCCCCCGGTCCCTGGTAACTACCATTTTGTTTTCTACTTCTATTCAACTTTTCTAGATTGCATATACAGTGAGTTCATGTGGTAATTTTCTTTCTGTGCCTGGCTTATTTCACATTAAATAATGGCTTCCAGGTGTATCCACATTATCACAAAGGTGAGGATTTTTTCTTTTAAAGGCTGAATAGTATTTCATGGTGTAAATGCACTACATTTTCCTTATCCATTCATCCATACATAGATACTGCAGTAGATTGCATCATGCTAACTCTTAACCAAGCATTTCTTTACTTAGTAATTTGAATTCTGTGCTCTTTTAGATGTGCATTGGTTTTATTTAAATTAGCCATGTTAGTATTTGAAAATGCAGCATAAATATGAAATAAAATTGTCTTTTACATAATTACATTTTAAATGAGAATAGCCTTATAAATTAAGTGAATCATTTTTCAGTTTTTAAAATTCATTTTGTTCATAACTTTAGGCCATTTTCTTCTGAGAAATGTACATATCTTTAGTTTTGTAAACAAATACCTCAATTGTCCTTTTATAAATTTAGAATTAGATCTTTCTCTAAATGTTCATGCTTATGAAGCCTTTACATTGAACTTGCTTAATGATTTTAATAAAACTTAACATTTTTCAAAAGATGGACCTGTCAGATGATCGTTTTGAGGTCTTAGAATTAAATAGAATACTTTATGTAACTGTCCCATTCCTTTATGTATGTATGTATGTATGTATGTATTTTTGTGGTGCCAGGGATCAAACTCAGGACCTTGTGCTTGCCAGTCAGGCACTGTGCCACTAAGCCATGCCCCCATCCCCCATTCCTCAGTTTTAACCAAGTACCTTTGATGAGGTTTCTAATTGCACTGTGTATATCACTCATGGTTTGAGGAAAGCCATCTCTTTCTTTGAAAAGCACGGGTGAAACTGGAGCCATTTGCCCTCTCATAGTCCGCCTCACGGTCAGTCTGTGGCAGGACTTGGACTTGGATAGAGATTCCGCTTCTCTTCCTGCCTGTGGGACAAGTTTCTCTGCAGCAGATCTTCTAGACATTTGTTCCCAGGCCCAGGTGGTAGCCTGAATGTTCTCAGGGAAGCTAGTCATTGCTTTCCACTTGACAACCAGGGCCAAGACAGGCTTTTTGCTCAGGTGCAAGGTTGATTTTGTAGTGCATGGTATCTGTTTCTCTTCTGTTAGCTCTATGCTGAGCTTTGAGATTTAGTTTCATTTAACTCCATTTTTACCTGTGTTTTTTAGGTGATTTGCATCTCCTAAATGCTTACCTGACTGTACTTTCTTTATGCTGTTTGAACTTGCTTCATTTCATTACCCTTCACAACAAATGGAAATTAGACTTCAGGCCTTCATAGAAAATAAGAAGTGTGTCCTAGAAGGAGCTACAGTCTTTAGAGTCTTCAGTCCTTAGGCCTAGGCTTTTGTATCATCTATAATGTAGTAGTTGTACTTAGAGTCCATTGTGGGTCACAACCCTGCCTTCCTGTGGCTGCTCACTGCCATCTGAATTCTTTAGAAGTGGTTGGTCCCAACACAATGGATTTTTATTTTATTTTATTTTTCTCTCTTTGAGTTTATTGGTACATTTTAGGTATACAGTACAATTACATTCATCATTGAGATCTTGTACCTTTACACGACAGGTCTTGGTTCTCATTTTTTCCCCTTGTCCCTGCCCTCTCTTCACTCCCTTCTCCCTTCCCTATTTACAAAAACTTTGTTTCCATTTTTTCATTTTCTTATATTTCACAATGGTTTTTTAAAAAGCAGTGTCTAGGGATGGGGATGTAGCTCAGTGGTTCTGCTGCCTGCCTCACAAGCACAAGGTCCTGAGTTTGATCCCCGGTACCAAAAGAAATAAATAAATAAAATAAAAATAAAAAGCAATGTCTAATGCTCCTCCAGTGTTGAATGCTCTTTTTCTTAGTCCTACTACTCTGGGTCCTACTTCATATATGTTTGTAGTATACTTTGACCTGGGCTTTCCCAGTCTGGCTATTGTCAGTTCCTGTAGCCAAGCCAAAGCCAGACATTTTATAGAGTTGTGTTTGAACAAAACCCAGCCCTACAAGAACAGCACTAAAGTCCTACTTAACAACTGGACTTCATTTTTCTAACTTTAGGGAAAGGAATGAGGCATTACAGCTTCTCTGTTTTTGCCACGGTGTGAACTAAGGTACTTAATGCTTACTCAGCCTTTAAGCTGTCCCAGTAGTATTGTGCTACTCTGAAATCTCATACTGTGTAGATAAACTAATGTGGCTTAGACCTGTCAGTCCATTTTACCTCAGCCTTTGCACCCATAAAAAAAGAGGGAAGGCCTGGAATCTTGGGCTTCTTCTAATGTTGCTTCCCTTCTTCCTTAAATTAGACATTTTTGCTCAAAAGGCATTATTGGCTGTGAGATAGCATTTACATCACTTTTTTCTGTTGTGCTGGGGATCAAACCCAGGGACTTGCACATGCTAAGCAGCACTTCACCACTGAGCTGTACTCCTAGCCTGCATTTGCATCAGTTTTATCCCAAGCTTTAGCATCAGCGGGTACTTTGAAGGTCCTACCTTAGAAAGACACCTTAGTCTGCGTAGCATCTCTGCACACTTTGGCTTTTTCCTCTGTTTCTTATAGTGTTCACTTTTTGGCAGTTAGTAGACTATCACCTAGATTAATTATGGATGTATGATTCATATAGGTGCCCTGAAATTAGACATAAACTTACTTATTCCTCCATGCCTCAAGGTCCACTGGAAATATTTAGGTGGTTCTCATCTGGACTCCTTTCCCTCCTTCTCTATGGAAGTGCCTGGACCCATCATTTATAGCTTGAACATCTTATGTTCATCATTTGTAACAGTCTGTTTATTATACCAGCAGACTATGTGTTTCCTGTCTCCAGCACAAAAATGCCTTGGGGACTGATGGAGGTGGATCCTAGATATGCTCCCAATATGTCTTTCCACTTTCCAGAAAAGTAGTGTCTTCCTAAAATTTCATTGGCTTCCCGGATGCCTACAAAATAGTAAGACTACCAACCAGAAGTAGCAAAGCATCGAACTGAAACTTTTCCTTACTTGTCATATCAATCTCATTCTGGGTTTCTTTTTTTCCCTTGGATTCTATGCTTGGGATGGAAGAGGAGGGGGTGTCTGTTACCCTGGAATAAGTCTTGTCTTTTTTCCACTAGCATTTAGAATTGTCCTCTCTCAAATATCTTCTGCTTATAAAAGAAAGTTTGTAGAAACTCTTGTGGGTCTGATAATGTATCAGGAGAGGACACAGAATTTAGTAAGAATTCATGAGACCACCTCTGAGAACATTGCCTCTGAAAAACTCAGTGATTGTGCATTTGGTAAGGAGGCATTGAGGTCCTTAACACTGGATTCTCCAGCCGTTCTTAGGTGCCTGAAAGCTGTCTACGAGATCTCTGCCTGTAGATAAGAAAGGAAGACAGGAAAGGGCATAAAAACAATACAGAACGGAAGTTAAGAGACTGCAGTATGTAGCTTTGGGGGTTGAAAGAAACCTTGGCAGTCATGGAGTACAAAGATGGAATGAGGACCAAGATCAGCAAAACCAAGAATTTACTGCATACCTGCTACATCAGAGCTGAAGTGTGTGGAGAGCAAAGGAGTGTTCAAAAAGGCATCATTGCCATTGGGCATCTGTGACCTAGATCCTCCTCTCCGACTTCTCTGTCTTATTTGGTTTCTCTTCTTTCATACATTCTTTTACAGTATAAGCATTTCCTAGTGTGACATTTGTTATTCTCTGTTTTTAATTCCTCCTACTTGGCTTAATTGCTGTCATCTCTTTTCATTATTTCACCATCACTGCTATTGATGCCTTCAATCCTGACCAGTCCCTGGACTTCTAGATGTTCAGCTGCTTCCTAAGCACCCTCACATAGCTACCCTGAAATCACTTTAACCTTACTTAGCGTGTTCAGAGTACTGAAATGTGCTATAGCATGAGTGATCCTTAAAATATGCTAAGTGATAGAAGCCAGGCACAAAAAAACACTTATATGGGTACATTTTGTCCAGGACAGGCAAAGTCATAGAGACAGAAAGTAGATTAGTGATTGCCAGGGACTGGGGGGTTAAGAGAACATTGTGGGAAGAATAGGGTTATTGTATTGCCAAGGGGCCTAGAGTTTTGTTTTTTTGTTTTGTTTTGTTTTGTTTTGTTTTGTTTTGTTTTGTTTTGTTTGTACTGGGGAATCAAACTAAGGACATTGCACTTGTGAGGCAGGCGGCAGCGCCACTGAGCTAAATGCCCAGCCCTAGAGTTTCTTTTTAAAGTGAGAAAAATATTCTAAAAGTGATTGTGGTGATTGATGGTTGCGCAGCTCTGTGAATATACTAAAAAGCCACTGAACTATTTACTTTAAATAGATGAACTTCATGGTATCTGACTTATATCTTAGTGATACTGTTAAAAATATTGTCATACTTGCTGTCCTTCCCAGACCAGTTATTTCCCCTCATGATCCACACAGCTCTTGCAGCTAGCCAAGCCACCATGGAAGCCCGTCCTACTAATCCGTCCTCCCAGCTCTCCTTCCATCTGTAAGGTTCCACGTTGTTCTGACTCATTCATAACTTCATTCATTCATTCATTCTTTTTAATTGCCGCATATTATTCTACTGTATGGATATATTATTTATTTCAGTGCTTTTGAAACCTTTTTGTGCTTATATGGTCTAAATTTTCTAAAATCGTTTATTTATTTTAGGTTACCTATTTTTATCATAAATTGTTGTAAAGGACGTTATTTCTGGCATATTATAAACACCAACAGCTTTAAATAAAACCTACATCATTCTTTGAAATCCCTTCAGTAGAACTTGTGTACCATAGATATTTGACAACAGTAATCATCCATTTTTTTAAATGCATAAATAAGCTCTTAACACTAAAAGATTTTAAATTGTTCTTTTTGCCTTAAATTTGGGTTTCATTCTACTTCTCCCAAAGAATTTGTCTTTAAAAGTATTTTATTACGCATCAAATCTAATTTGGCATGTAATATTATTCGATTTCTGTTTCTGGTGGGTATTAAATATTTCCTTTAGATTGATTTACTATTAGAATTAGTCACAATACCATAAATGTATTATAAATTTTGTTGGGGGTTGACTAAGCAGAAGAAATACTAGAAATGCATTTTTTCAATGAGTTCATATATTCATAGATAAATATCATTTACTGCTAGTAAAATAATGCAGTATTCAAGTGTATTCTAATTCTATTTTTTTCCTTTTATAGATATAAGTGCTGAGAAACCTTGTTTATATGATTATATAAATGGGAATGCAAGGACTTCTATAATAGCAATGCCACTTGGTTCTTTGGATTCACTCTGAATTATAGGCCAAAAAAATCACTTAGTGTTCTCTCACCTAAAAATATTTTGAGTGTTCTATCACTGACAGCTTGATTTTGTCCCCCTTAAATTTTGTTAAGCAAAGTTAAAGAATTGGAAACTGATTTAACATGCAAATGTACGTTATTTATTACTAAGTATTAGGATTGGTTTACTTTCTTCTTTTATTTTTTTGTTTTTGAGACAGGGTCTCACTATGTAGTTGAGACTGACCTGGAACTCACTAGCCCAGGCTGGTCTGAAACTCACAGCGATCCTCCTGCCTCAGTCTCCCGAGTACTGGGATCACAGGTGTGCGCCACCCCGCCCAGCTGGTTTACTTTCTTGACCGCCATTTCAAAGTGCCCCTTTGTGGTAGTCCAAATACTAGATTCAGAATAGAAAGGAGATTATATCTTTCTTGTACACAGTGGAAGTCAGGGAACCAGCCTTAACTCATTGTGCAGGCAGTATAATTTTGGAAAGTGAACATCGGAAATTTGAAGATCTAGAAATTAATTCCCTCAAACTATCTGTACCTGTATATTCCTTTGAAAGTCTTTGTATACTCCTAAGGGTTTGTCTGCTTCAGTTCAATGATCCCTGGCTTACCTAACCAAGTCTCTGTTGATAACTTCAGGATAGCTTACAGGTTTTCATTATTTGCAGTATTACAACTTGAGTACATTGAGATTTTGGTATCTTGCCTTATTGCCCCTTTCACTCACTCAGAGTCAAACCAACGGTATGTGAGTAGGCCTCCATGACAGCCAGCACTTCACGTTATCAGTCCTGTCATCAGTCATCAGTCATTTAAAAATAAGAAAGTAGGATCTTATTTGCCTTTCTTTGTTAGTGGTGTGAATGTCTTTTTTAGCCATTTAGCGTCCATTGGCTATTTGTGTTTCTTCCCTCAATTTCCTTATTCCTATGCTTTGCCAGGGTTTCTGTTAGCGCATAGTAGTAGTTTTTCTTATTGACTTGTAAGAACTGTTGCTCTACTGAAGGTATTAACCTGTTGTACATTTTGCTGGTGTTTGGTGTTTGTCAGCTGTTTGTGCTGGCTTTTCCATTATAGAACTTTTAGGTGGTCATGAATCTGTCAAGTTTGTCCTATATGACTTTAGATTTCATATTATGCTTATACTTAGAAAAATTCTTTACTGTTTCCTTGAAGTGGTTTCATGTTTAAGTTTATTTTATGATGTATATAGTTTAATTTTACAATATTGTATGTAAGGATTCAATTTTTCCCTAGTGGATGTCATATTTTTCTAACACCATTTATTGAATAGTAGCACCTTTCTCTGCTGATCTTTACTGTATTCTAGATTCTTACATTTTCCTGCCTGTTTTGGGAAGCTTTGGAGCCATCTTGTTTCCTTTCCTCCTGTGATTTGCTATTTAGTGTCTTTACTACTAGAACAGTCTGGAGCACACATTCTATAATATCACTGCTCCCACCTACAAGGAAAGAGACCAAACGTGTTGGCAAGGTCTAGTCCTGAGCTCCATTTATAGTCACATTTCCCCAGCCCTCTGCTCTTTGAAGCATAGCATGTGGTTTCATTGCTTTATACCTTTGTTTCTACTGTTTTCTTGGCTAGAAATAGCCTACTGATCCCCATTCTTTTCTTAGCAAACCCTACTTTCCTTTTAAGGCCCACTGTGAAACCTTCCCAAAGCCTTAACTTTAATTCTTGTTTTATTTGGTCTCTATTTCTTTTTGCCTTCTTGTTTATCCAAGTAAATTATCCAACTTCTTGTGAGTAGAGGGGACTTCATTAGTCTTTTGTCTTCTGTTGCTTTTCATCTAGTCAGTCTTTAGAAAATGCTCATTGGATGGAATTGAATCTAATTATTCACACACACATGCACATGCACACAGACTCATCCTCATGTCCATATGCTCTAAGAAAAGTTAGTGAGCAAAAATCATGGTGTCACTCTGGAAGGCTGAGGCAGGAAGATTGCAAGTTCAAACCTAGCATAGGCGGGGCTAGGGATTTAGCTTAGTGGTTCCGGTGCCTGCCTTGCAAGCAAAGGGACCCGAGTTCGATCCCCAGTACCAAAAAAACAAACCTAGCGTAGGCAACTTAGTTGACTTTCTGAGACCCTGTCTCAAAATAAAAACTAAAAAAAAACAGGGGATGTACAGTGGACCCTCAAATTACAACTGGCCTGACATACAAACAATTTAGATTAATTAAGTTAATGGAAGATTCATCTGCCTCTTGTTATCTGTATCGTGTACCCAGATAAATATCCAGATATCAGCTGTATTGGCTTACAACCAACTTGAGATACAACCAGTCCTTGGGAACCAATTGAGTTTGTAAGTCAAGGGTCCACTGTAGCTCAGTGCAAGAGTCTTAGGTTCAATCCCCAGCACTACAAGAAAAAAAAAAAAACACACCACATCCATTGTTATGGGTCCCCAGGTTTGATGGGGACTTACAGGACTCAGCAGCTGGTTGCATTGATGGTTATGGTTTATTACAAATGAAGGATACACAGCAAAATCAGCCAAAGGAGATGGCACATAGCACAGAGTATGGAGGAAACCAGGTACAAATTTCCAAGGGTCTTCTCCCAGTAGAGTCACACAAGACATGCTAAATTCTCCAAGCTGTTTGGCAAGTTATGATAACACATATGAAATGTTGCCAGCCTGGGAAGCTCTCTTGGGACCCAGTGTCCAGCATTTTTTCCGGGGTCTGATTGTGTCACCACCTACCCCATCCACCACCTGCCAGGCGCACACCCAAATTCCAGGCTTCCAGAAGAAAGTAGATGTTCAGCATAAACAATATTTTTTTACACAAAGTTCAGCACTGACAAGTTAATGTTAGGCACTCTCCTGAAATTTACGTTCCTAGATGCTGGCCAAGGACCAACATCATAAGCAGCCCTTGCAATAACAGTAGTCAGGTCTGCTATGCTAGCTCTTCCCTCCCCCCACCTTTTTTTTTTTTGAGGAACTGGGGATCGAACTCAGGACCTTGCGCTTGCCAGGCAGGTGCGGCACCACTGAGCTACATCCCCAGCCCGCTGACTCTTTTTCTAAACAACCATATTTTTGAACTATGTTTCATAAATGCTAAATGATTACAGGGAGGAGATTAATATGCTAGGAATGGCCAGGGCATGTAAATATTTTCATTGCTATTCTCTTCATGGAAGAGGTAGGTTGTAAGCTGAAGCATATAGAAGAACTAGATATATAAGGGCTAAAGGCAAAGATCCATGTTTGGCAGTAGGTTGGTAGGACTATGAAACACTGGCTTGTGTGTTTTAGAGAGGCCCTCATGCTAAGAGCTGGGTAAAATATTTAGGATTTAAGGTGGTAGCAGTCAAACATCTTCCTAGACTGAAAATGGAAAAGTGGTAGTTTAAGGATGGTCACTTGGTTAGCTGTGGGTAGCAGGGTCCTAGGGAACAGAGATGAAGTCCAAGAGGAACAAACAACAAGGGAACATTTGCAGTGACCCGGGTATCAAGCTATGAAAACCTAGATGAAAAGGCACTTGGACATCTAGTTCAGCATTCTGCTCTGCCATAGTAGGTTTTCCAGTCAGTAGAAGAGTGAGCATAAATTTGAGAGATGGTATGGAAGTAGTTAGATGAAGGGTGAACTAGTTCAGAATAAACTGCACATTTTTATAAATAAGATACTTCAGTTAAAATTTTCTTTACAATTATTATAGTTAGAATTTCCTTTTAATGTTGTTAGTAGGTAACATATTTTATTTGAAAATATATTAATGTGATTTTATGTTGTGTAATAAATAAGGAAATAGAATATAGTGAAGTCTAGCTCTATTTAAAGGAATGCTTTTGACAAAAATATCTATGATTATGTTTTGAACATTTCATTAAACAAAATAGAAAACAATTTTCTATCAGCATTGTTTCTGCTTGGAATTAAACAGCTCCATACTAATATAAATGCCAAAAATAAATCAACTTTTAAATTTCTTTCAGTTTTAATAATGTAAGACCCTAAGAAAAGGTAAGAATATATGTATTAATAAGTTCTTATTTTTACTGTCCCTGAAAAATATGTCATTCTACTATTTTTGTTTTTATTAGTTGCATGGTCTTATGTCCAGTTTATGGTTAGTAATTTAACATTTTGCATAGTACTACAAGTCCAGTTTAATCATTAGCAATGTAATATTTTTCATAGTGTCACAATACAAAATCCGTGTTCATTACTCTCTAATTGTCTTACTGTTTATGTGAATTCCTTTTCCCAAATTTATTGAACAGTCTTTTAAAGCTACGGTGCTCGCTTTGGCAGCACTTATACTAAAGTTATAGGTAAAGGTCTGAAAGCAAGAAGACTTGTCCCCTTATAATAGTTTTCTCTGTAGTTGTCAGTTATTAGAAGAGTCCATATAGTTTTAGAATTAGAGCTACCATGTGATGGGAAAGAGAAAATACTAGTTTGATGTTGTGCTGTATCACATCAGGCTCCATAGTGGAGAGACTGAGGTTTTAAGAATCTTGAATTTATGCCAGGGAGCCCCACTGAGACTCATCCAAGTAGCTGGATGCTGCACTCATCGGTTTACTAATACCAGTGTCACCTAATGTCTTCTGTTTTTTTCCTGTCTGACTGTGTTCTGTTGTTACTTTGCGCGTCAGGGTCCCATGTACCTTTGTGGAGATCTCTTGAGGTGCGAGTAGTACTCTATTAATTAAACTGTTTTGAAAATTGCACTGTGAACTCTAGCTCAGATGTTACAATGGACTCTTCTTTTGAAGTCGGTATTTCTCTTTTTCTCTCTCAATAGGATTATACAAACGTTGCCACAGAAACCTAATCTGGAATTGTTGCAAATGGAAATACCACTACAGGAGAATATTTGGGAGCATCTCTTTTTGTCAGGAGTTAGAGTTGGCACTAAGGCACTAATACTGTAACTTTCTTGATAAAATAACTTTATTTTTCAGTAGTGGAATGTTGTAACTTTTTTACATTTAACAGTTGCTTTTAAATTACAGTATTCAATTTAAAGGTTGTATTAACTACCGTTTTTGGGGGGTTTTTTTTGCAAAAAGTTTGAATAGAATGAATTGCAGGGCATTGTTTGTCGATGAATTTTTCTCTGAGCATGGTTTCATCTAAAGAACTTAAGCAAATTATGTCCAGACATTTATATGTTCAAAGTTTTGTTTATGTAAAAAAAAAGTATCTGAATTGTATAGTGTCTGTACATGAAAGAACTTTAAACAGTGGCCTTACAGTAGTAATTTTTATACCAAGCTTTTCTTTTTCTGATAACATTTTGGCTTATAACTTGAAGTTTTCTTAAGTTTCTGAAGATCAAGGCCTATACAATTCATACATTTCATATTATAATAAGGCTAGAGAAAAGGTGCTTCAAATTTTCCATCAGGTAGTTGTGAATGCACTGAATTTTTAGTAATATGTTCATTCAGTTTTTTCCCACAACTATTTGCTCTTTTCCAGTTTCCAAATGCTGTTGTGGAAATATGTAAAGATTTTATAACCTATATTCCATCTTACTTTTCCCTCAGGGCAAGCTTGTCATATATTTTTAAAGGCTTTTAAACAGTCTGACAGACAATATCTCATATTTGAAAATTGTACTTTACTACTACAGCATTACACATTTTGCAAGCACATCTTATAGACTGTTTATTTTCAGTTCAGTTGATATGTACTGTGTACCTACTATGTGTAAGATGAAATTGGTGGAATTTTAAATAAAACTTTTAGGTCCCAGTACCTTATTTCATTATGTCTTCTGTGTCTTACTTAACAGTACATATACATTCCCAACTAAATTTTTGTAAAATGTTTATGTGTAATAAAGTATTGTTGCACTTTTTGCTTGAAGAAGTTACTTGCCAATTTGTGTGAAAATTATTTTAATTTTCTATGAAACTTGCATCCCTGGTATCTTCATTATTTACCTCACTGCTGGAACGAAATACTTGACGGCCAAAAATGGAAGGAGGAGAGGTATATTTTAGCTCACAGTTTGTATAGGTTTCAGTCCACAATCTGTTGGGTCCAAGGCAGGGGGGCTTGGGCATCCAGGAAGCATAGAGAGAGAGAGACCCTTGAGGGGAGGAGCCAAGGAGGGAGAAAAATGTTTCCAGGCCACACCCCCTGGGACCCATCTCCTAATAGCAAGTTAGCTGTAGACCCCCACAACACAGTCACCTTCAGAAAGCCCTGCGTCTGAGCACAGGGGTTTCTTGTGGGACATCTGGATATAAACTGTAACAGGGATGGGACCTGTTGATATTTAATGCTGGTCAGCACTGATGAAGACAGAGCTTTCTGAATTGAAATGTAAATGTTGATAAGAACTTTTTTTTCCATAACTGGATTATGAAAGATCTTAACTACAGTTGTTTAATTTTTTTCCACATCTTGAAAAGATGGGGCAAACTGTGCCTTAAATGAGTCAGTGATAGGGGATCAAGAACACTGGATTCGTTGCTAACTGGACAATAAATTTAGGTAGATGGCCTGCATTGTACTGTGTACTCTCTGCAGGTCAGGATTTTCAAATATATTTGATGTAACTGTTATGGTAAGAAAGAAACGCATGCACCCAATACCATGACAGCTTTGCATTATGCAGCTACTTACAAAATCTGTCTCAGATTTTTCAAACAATTGATTTCATCTGTTCCCATATTCTAAGGGGTAATCTTGACTTTTGAATGCCTAATTATTTGATTGAAAGCTGTTTATTTCACAGATACTATGCTAAAATGTCATCAGTAAACAAGAGGACAGGATACACGGCCCCTGCCTTTATGGTATGAGCAGTTTAAGAGGCAAAACGGACATTAAACTTAGAAATGAAACTTGGTAAATAGCATTGATTCTATAGTTTTATTTTTTTATGGTAGCACATAAGGGAAAAATGGTTGATTTATCATTGCTCCCTCCACAACAGATGCCATATTAGGCATATTTGGATATACCTTGGCACTCTCTCAAAATGTAAATAAAGCACATCATATACAAAAAAAAACTATTCAAAAAACATTTATTTTTTAAGATGTATATCCTAAAAAGAAATACCTGTTTTGTAATTTAGAGTATAGAATAAGGACAGGGTCCATGTTGGCCTTGTTCACCATAGTAGTATCCTCAGTGCCCAGTATCCTACTTGATACTTGATAGGACCTCATTAAATATTAACTGACTGATGCATAAATGAGTAATGAGTAGAATTTGTCTGTTAAGATTTACAGCCAGGGATTTAGCTCAATGGTTCCAGTACCTGCCTCAAAAGTGCAAGGTCCTGAGTTCGATCCCCGGTACAAAAAAAAAAAAAAAAAAAAAAAAAAAGATCATGAATTCAATTCAGGGCCAGGGATTTAGCTCATGGTTCCACTGCTTGCTTTGGAAGCACAAGGTTCTGAGTTCAATTCCTGGTACCAAAAAAAAAAAGTAGTACAGATTTACATATGTGCTGGGTGCCATGGCACATGCATTTAATCCCAGCTACTTGGGAGGCTGAGGCAGGAAGATCTTGAGTTCAAGCCTAGCTTGTGCAATTCAGTGAGACACTGTTGCAAACTAAAAATAAAAAGGGCTTGGAGGTATATATAGTTCAATGTGAAGTCTAGTACCACAGTTTGATTGCCAGTACCACAAAAAAAAAAAAAATCACAACTACAGATCTAATTTTCACATGGAAGTTGAACAGAAGGTTATCTATAGCATTTTTAATTGATTGGAAAGAATGCATAATATTTGAGGACAGTTTTTGGTTGAACTCCATACTGTTAGCCCCTGCCACCGCTGCGCCGTATGCTGGGCCCTTTGGTGGCAATAAGAAGTCAAAAATAGTGAGATATGGTCCCTGCTTTGAGGAACATAGGAAACTATTATTGGACAAGAGATTCACAAAGATAAAGAATTGCAGCGTAGAAGTGTTAAGTACTGTAGCAGGCATAAATGCAGAAGGCTTGAGAGAAAAGTTGACATTTTCTCATTAGGCATGCTTTCTTTGGGTTTCTTTCCTATTGGCTTCACAAACCTCATAAGGTACTATTCTGGTGGCTTTGCTGGTTTTAAAAATTGACCCATTGTGGGAAACTGGGTAAAGTACACACAAAATCTCCATTTTTGTTGTTGCCGTTGTTGTTATAGTTGTGTGTGAATGTAATTGTGTGAGTATAAATTAAAAATTTTCAACTACCCATAAAGCCAGTACTCCCTGCCACTCATGATGGCTTGGATCTGGATTGCACCATAGCCTCTCGGGGGAAGTGGGTGCTCAGAGCCTATTTAGTGCTAGAGTTTGGTGTGCATACAGCTTGGTTGCAGTAGCACTGAGACCGTGGATGAACTCTATCTGGGGAGCTTTGCTAATTTGCTGCAGCTGGACAGTATTCCTCTTTCACAGCTGTCTGTCAGCATAGTTGTAGCATCATTTCACTGTGGTGATGGGGACTCAGCTCTGAATCCTCATAGAAAAAGTAGGTGGATCCCAGCCTTTCAATGGCTTTGAGACAACTAGAAGTGCCCACTCTTGAGCCTAGTTTACCTCTAGGCAAGATCTCCCTGCCCAACAGGATGTGCTTCCAGCATTTAGCTATGATGATGCCCTTGAAGACCCAGTACCTGCGACTCGTCCCCCACTGGACATGGGCAGCAACCCCAGAAAGCCAGTGTATTTCTCCACCCCCACTATACCCTGTCGAAGGCCACTAAGAGTACCAACAATGTCCTGGTGGTGAAAGCCAAAGCTACCCGTCATCATGAATTCTCTGATCATAAAAACTAAACCTACTGAGTGGAACAATAGCAAAAGTAGAGAAGGAGCTTGCATCAGCCCAGCTCACCCCAAGCAACACCCCTCATTCTTCCCCTAAGCAGAGGCCCAGTATCACTTCTGATTCTGCCACAGTCTTACCTGGTTCAAATTGTCAATAAATGGAGACTGTTTCGAACAAGACTGCTCCAGGAGTCTGATTTTACCATCCAGGCTTACAAAGCCTACCCTCTCATGTGGCGCTGATCTGTGCCAGGTCACCTGAATGAATAGAGCTCCAGAAGTCTTCAAGCCATCCAGGATGGATGTCCCAGTGATAGAAGGGGAGAAACAACTGCTGTGGACCCAGAATCTCAAACCTCGTGGTTTGAATGTGCTCACTCATTGAATTCTTGTGTGCTTTCTATCCCAGAGACTCTACATAGAGAGTTTTTGTACCTACTCCCTTTCTATCTTGACTCTGACACAGGAATGGTATAGTTTTTAAAAACCTCTTACACTGAGGCTAGAGCTGGAGACATAATTGATTTCTGAAAAACATCAGTGCAAAGCTTGTGCTTTTGTAGAAGAACCATCTTGTAATGCTTTAAAGTTAGACCAAAATAATACCAGCTGTGATCTTTGGGGGACCTCATCTATTTTTGTGTCATTTACCCTAGACAAGAACTTGGACCATTGCTAATTATGTAAATGATGTTCATGCTATTCCAAGACATATTCTGGTTCTTTTACCCCTATCAATGTGAGCATTGACAAATCATGGCATAGAGGTGCCCACTGATGGGTTTGGGCAACTCTGGCCCTCTTAATTCTGCCAGTGCTGTGCTCTAGCTTTATCACCTTGGGGGACTTAGGCCCTATTTTGAGATCTGGGTTCACTTAACAGCTAGACTTGGCAAGAATCACTCTTTCTAAGGTAAGACTGGAGCCTCCTTGCTTTGTTGGTCAACTTTATGGAGCACTCTGTCCTGTGGCCAGTTCTTCATGCATCTTGGCACTTTGTCACGCCACTGCTTTAGGAAGGATACTTCTCTTTTATATGTCACCAAACAAACTAGTGTGTATTCTTTTCTGCACTTTAAAGTGCTATTAGTTTAACCCTAATCTAGTTGAAAACTTCCAAAGGGGTATTCATAGTACTGATTTGGTGCTGATAAATGGATATTTTTTTTGCCAGGCAAATGTTCTACCACTGAGCTACAACCTCTAGCCCCTGGAAGTTAAATATTTTTAGAGTTAAGAAGATAGTAAGTACTGTTAGATTATAGACTTAAGGTTCATGTGAAATGTCACCTTATTTTGATTTCTTGTCCAGGTCAGGATCTAAGACTTGTGCGTACTACCCATAAAGCCAGTACTCCCTGCCCTGCCACTCATGATGGCTTGGAATTCCGTTGTGGAGGAATTCCTTTTCGTTTGTTTCTTTGTTTTTTGGTAATGAAAGCATTTTTACCAAAATGAGCCTCGTATCTTTATGTAATACATATCTTACTGAGGAAAGGAAACAGAAGCTGCTTTTTCATTTCTCCTCATTATGTTCATGTTAATTATCTTGAACACCGTCTTGAACACCGTCTCAAAAACACTGTTTTTGTTTAGGGTAGTATTTTCTTCATACAATGAGCTGGGCTTCTCACTGAGATGTTCTGGAGTCTAAAATTTTCAGAGCAATTAATTTATTTGTGTTTTCTGTTATGACATGTTTTGACAATAAGAATCTTTAGTACTTTCACAAATTTAAAAAAAACACCTAGTCTTATCACAGAGAAAACTATTAAATATTTTGGAGGATGCAGTTTAATTTTTTCTATTGGAAAGAATCATATTTACATGACAATTTGTGTAGATATGTGCAGATGCATAAGAGTTACCACATTTTATGTAATGAATCTTGCATTTTAAAACTTTTTAATTTACTTTTTGTGGTACTGGGGATCAAACCCAAGGACTTATGCCTGGTGGGCAGGATGTTTTGCCACTGCTGTACACCTTCAGAATTTTTTTCTTAAAGAATGGGGATATTTCCCG